GTAGTCGTCGTAGTGGTAGTGGTAGTGGTAGTGGTAGTGGTAGTAGTAGTTGTTGTTGTAGTACTAGTAGTACTAGTAGTAGTAGTAGTAGTAGTAGTAGTAGTAGTAGCAGTAGCAGTAGTAGTAGCAGTAATAGTAGTTGCAGTTGCAGTAGTAATGATACCAATGAGAATAGTAAACGCTAGCAATAGTAGCCACCATAATGGTGATGGGGTAATGATGGTAAGAATGGTAATAATGAGAATAAGAATAAACAACAAGAATTATAACAGTAATAACAAGAAGAACCAATACTAACAACACGAGTAATCAGAGCAACAAAATGATAATGCACCGACGCGACGGTCGCGCGCACTAAGCACTCCACGGACATGGTACGAAACGTAGGACGAAAACCCTATGCAGCAGCTTCGAGACCACGAAAGCACTGCGGCACGCAGCATTTTTGCATGCCTGCAAGTCGGGAGTTCATGGACGTCATCTTGGTTGGGCCATGGATGCTGCCTTCTCTGAACGGAGTAGACCATGGACGTCATCATGCTTGGGCCATGGATGCTCCCTCTCAGAACGGATTAGACCATGGACGTCATCATGGCATGGATGCTCCCTTCTCACAACGGCTCAGACTATTGACGTCATCATGGTTGGGCCATGGATGTTTTTTCTCAGAGCGGATTAGAGCATGGACGTCATCGGTGGACGTCATCACGGCTGCTCAGTTTTAGAATGCAAGAGCACCGCTGGCCGAAATCATATAGTAATACGAGGAATAAATACTAATCATCGCAATAACTGCAGTATGAGTAGTGATAATAATGTTAGCAGTACCAGCAGTACTATTAAGAACTATCATATGGTACGAACAATAAGAATTATTTAAAATTGTAGTAATAGTAGTACCCGTATTAATCGTAACTAAGAGTAAGATCATTGTTTTGATCCTGCTTCAGTTTGTTGTTGATCCGCATTCCTGCTGCCGCTGCCGCTGTTGCTGTTGCTGCTGGTGTCGCCACTATATTGCGGAGCTCCAGCTGATGTGACCGGCAATAGATTAGGTCTCCGCACAATGCCAAATGCTGCAATTGCAGTAGTACCCTCCGAGGAGCGCGGCAATAGGAGTGAGATGCATGACCTTACACCGCGAAAGGGTGAACCCCATAGGGTGAGTGAATGTCGTGGTAGCAACAATTCTGATACCTGGCAGTGATGCGGAGAGTTGAAGCAGCACTGCCGCAAGCAGCGATGTTGACGACGCTGACAGAACACACGCAGAAACTGAAGTAAACTGGCTGCTTCACGAAGGTGGACCTGTACTTGGCGCGGGGTGCCACGCTGTTGCTGAGCCTTTCGTAAGGCCTCGCCTCAGCAATCACTCTTTGATCCCGACTTTTTGTTGTCATATTCAGGATCCAGCATTGGGGTCCTTTGCCCGCAGCTGGGACTGCTCAGAAATTGCAGGAAAAGGGCATGCTCGCACTGTGATGTGCTGCCACAGCGACGCACCTGCACAGTCACAACCTTGACCTACACACACACACACCAGACGCATCCTTCGCCTCCGGACTCTTGCCTTTCCTGGACAGAACTTCCAGATGTCCCATGACTTTGTCGACTGAGGGCTGATCGCTGCTTGGCAGGATCGTACATATTCCTTGGCTCGCAAGACACGTTTCCCTAGGGTACCACTGAACAAGACTTAGACCCTCAAGCAACAACACGTGTGATACTTCACTGGTGATGCAAACGAAGTGATCGCATACTGAATTTTTCGAGATGAGCTCATGCCAGCGTGGATGCCGAAAGTCATCCTGATCTTAATTCGGAAAAGAGCTCGGTACCTACAGTTAACTTATAGATTTGCAGCACTCGGGATGACCATGGCAATACTGGTGCACGCGGCTGTCATCAGGATCGTTGCACAATCATCGCCACACACATCATCACTAAAGGAATGCTGAAACAACGCAGCTTCAAGCCACAAGCTCTCAGAAATATTTCCTCAAAAACCCTGTGGCAGCGCACAA